ATCAAAGTCCAACTCATAGGTCAGCTCGTGATCATCATGGGCCTGCTCATCGTCATCGTCATCATCAACATCATCATCATCATCGTCAACATCATCGCCATCATCATCATCATCATCATCATCATCATCATCATCATCATCATCATCATACTGCGGACTCCTGACTGTCGACTCATAAGTGGAGTCCCGCCTCTGAACAATACGTATAATCGGATAACGTTCAGAACTGCTAACCATGACAGGGCCAGACTGCTGACCACTCTGCATCTGAGTGGGGTGTCCCAAACTGTCAGGCATCAGTGGGGCAGATTGATGACCAATCGGTATCGGAGCGGGACGTCCCGAACTGGCATGCATAAGTGGGTCAGACTGCTGCCAACTATGTATCGGAGTGGGACATCCCGAACTGCTAGGCATGAGTGGGCCAGACTGCTGGCCACTATGTATTGGAGTGGTGCGTCCCGAACTGCCAGGCATGAGTATGCCCGACTGCTGACCAGTCTGTATCGGAGTAGCGAGATATCTCGAACTATCAGCAAGAGGAGTCTGTACCGTACGAGCATGAAGGAGCATCTGCTGCCTCTGCAACCGAGCGGAAGCATTCACATTCTGAACTTTCGTGTGTCGGGGTCCAGACCCAACAAAGTCCGCAAGATACTCATCAGCCTAAATTCAAAATTTTAAACGAATATTTAGTAAACAAATTTTTTTAATTCATTTATCTTCAAAACTTAAAGTAGACAACTTAATTTACTAATCTAAATTAATTTAAATTATTAATATATTTTTATAATTAATATATACATAATATTTATATATATATATCTTAATGTTTTTTAATTATTAATATAATATATATATATATTATTTATTCATATTTTTCCCTATTCTTAAATAAATATATATATTTTAAATATATTTATTATTTTCTAAAATATATATTTAATTATTTACAATAAATAATATTTTAAGTATATATTTAATTATTAAAATATATATTTTTATTCATATTTTTTCGTTTTTACAAAAAATATTAACGCAAAAATTTAAATATTTTAATTATTTATTTTTTACAATACATTATATAGAAAATTTATATAAAACATATATTATTTTTTTAAATTTACATAAAATTTATATTTATTTTCGTTTTTACAACCAAAAAAATATATATTTTATTAAATACGAAAAATTAAATTATATTTTTATATATATACTATATATTTTTAATTAAATAAAAAATATAAATATGTTTATTATTTAGTTTTAAAATATATTTTATAGAAAATTTGTATTATTTTTTAAAATTTATATAACATTTTTAATTTCGTTTTTAGAAAAAAA